GAAATTTTCACCTTGAAGATTAGTATTTCCATTAAACATTCAAGAATCATCTTTATATTGAATAGACAAATTATTAGCTTGTAAATTTATAGTTGAATTTCCCTCATTAAGGCGCATTAGAGATAGAGGATCATCTGATGTAAATGTAAAAGAGGAGACATTAATACAATTTCAATCAGAATCTGATGGATTTGTTTGATAATCAAACGACTCTATAGCAGCAACTCTAAAATGTTCATCTACCCTTGCACGAATGTGACGTCTTTGAATTCGCTCACTATATACTTTATTGCTCATTTTTTATATGTATTAAACAAAAAATTCACAGTGCTTCGATTTTTAACTTAAGGCGCAATATAAAACAATTTAAAACAATAGCCGTTCAGAATAATGACAAGGGTTCGCAACAAAAAACCAACGTGGGTCCAATATGGGCAACCCATAAAGTGTAAAAATCGTATTATTTGATAGGCGGCCTATATAGGTCCCATGTCGAATCTTTAACGCAATCCCATGCCCTTATCGGCCCATGTAAACCTTGTTGAACAGACATGGGGCCCATGTAAGAGTGTTGGCTGGGCCGTTATCTTGGTTCCTTGATAAGTCGGATTTTGGGGCTATCTATAAATGATGTCAGTAAATATAAGGAGATGGGATACTAAAAAGTTTGACAATGGAGAGGGGTGACAATGAGGAGGTAGTGACAAATTGACAATGGGGAGGGGGTGTTGAGATCAAAATGATGTCCATTCATAGTGGTAGCAGGGTAAAAACGCTTTTTTTTTAAAAAAGTCAAAATAATTCAATATGCTTTATTGTAATGAAAAATACTATTAAAAAAAAAACATTTAACACTATTTGCATAAAAAATTATAATGACGTCATCAATTGTCACGTCATGAACAGATTTTTGCCTTAATTTTATGTTTCTTTCAACAAGGATAACTTAATGAAAAATGATCAGAATCACTTTTAATTTTCTAATTGCAATCTTTATTATTAATACTATGTTCTGAGCGAAACAGAAAATTATTTTTTTTTTTTAAACGCACCAGGTTTACTGTCAAACTTCAAATTTCAAAAAAAGTAAAATATGTTTATGTAAAAATAGCACTGCTGGCTATGTTTTTAAAAAAAATTAAAAAGTGCTTCGCTCAGAACACTCTAAATAGAACAATGTAACACCAAAAAAAAAATTCAGCTTAGTAGCTTTATCTAATTAAAAGTTATCTTTGTTAAAAGACCACAAAAATTGTGAAAAATTAAAGGGAAGAAAAACGTTAAAGAAAAAATAAATAAAATTAAATAAACAATAAAACTCAAAAACTAAATTAAAATGCTCCACTAGCATATGTCTCTCCTTCCTCAAGTTCATTTTTATCATAATGACCTTTTCTAATTGAAAGATCTTTCAATTAGAAAAGGTCATTATGAAAATGAACTGATGGACAATATTGTCCATCAGTTCATTGTTTACTGTTGTTGATGTATTGTCCATCAGTTCATTGTTTACTGTTGTTGATGTATTGTCCATCAGTTCATTGTTTACTGTTGTTGATGTATTGTTCATCAGTTCATTGTTTACTGTTGTTGATGTATTGTCCATCAGTTCATTGTTTACTGTTGTTGATGTATTGTCCATCAGTTCATTGTTTACTGTTGTTGATGTATTGTCCATCAGTTCATTGTTTACTGTTGTTGATGTATTGTCAGTTAAAGCTCTTGTGGTAAATCCTTTCCTTTTTCTTGATCGTAATTTTTTATATCTTTTTTCAGAACCCATTCCAAGTAATAATAGCTTTATTAATTAAAATATATATATATTTTTCAACTGAAGGGTATAAGAATCTATAACACAACCTTTATTTAGAAGCTCTGAGTTAGAACGGTTTTTGAGGCTTCAGTGTATAGCTTATAAACTGAATAAATAGAGATATTTAAAAGAATAAAAAGAAGCCTTTTAGGTGAAAACTAGATGTTTTGATCAGGTTTTAATCCAGAGATATTTGAAAAAAAGCATTGCTAAGGCGGTTGCTATGGCCTAAGAACTTAAATACCTTTATCTAGAAGGGTAAATTTTGTATGAATGCATAAGTTTTTTTAAATCAAACCAAGTTTCCACAAAAAATAACACCCTAAAGATCTCAAAAATATGGTTTTTAAAATTTTCAAAAAATTTCAAAAAACGCCTTTTTTTCACTCTGCTACCACCTGATAATTTACCACCCTGCTACCACAAATGATGATCACATTTGGTTACAATACAACTTTAAATTAAAGTCACTATTTTAATTGAAAAAGATTTGAAATTATTTTATTTTTACCATTTTATTTTCCCCCTACAAACTGTGTTATGTGAATTTGGTTAATACGAGCAGATTTTAAAGGTATTCACATCTACAATTTGGTATAAAAATAGCATATTTGCTTTATGGGGAATTTGATGTAAGTTTCCTAGAGACATAATATAAATTAAAAATTTATCAACGTTTTACTATTGTATTACCATTTGACTGAAAATATAATTGTTTACAAATATCAACAACTTGTATAAAAATTTAACAATCATTATTTGATTCCAGCGGATTTTAAAATGTGCTTTAAAGCAAACGTATAAAGTCATTTATCATTATTATCGAAGAACACTTCAACAACTCATTGGAAGACGATGAGTTATAGATATAAAATAAAATTTTTATTTGTTTACTATTTGATGAGGTATCAACTGTTCTATAATATAATATGCTGAGATATAAATGTATAATTTAACCAGAAAAAATCAATGGTGCATACACATATTTTAAATGTTAATTTTGACAAAAAGGGGAGGGGATTAAAAATTAAAAAAAATTACTGACATCAATTATGGACAGCCCCTTTTATTTAGTTGGAAAATTTTTCAATTTTCCTTGAACGTTCTATAAAAACCAAGAGCTACGTATAACTCGGACATTCCCTAAGTCATACTATTTATCTGTTCCCATTGAGAGTCTAATATAACGGGATTTTACTGTATATTTATATATATATATATATATATATATATATATATATATATATATATATATATATATATATATATATATATATATATATATATATATATATATATATATATATATATATATATATATTAGATATATTTGTATAAACACTTGGAGACTCATTTAACAACATTTTTTTATAATTTATTATTTAATTATTTATACTATTAACAGTTAATATCTTAAATATATCGTAACATAAAATCTTTTACGTCTTTTTCGTAACTGCACATTCCGGAATGCTCCTTCCGTAAGGAACTATTTCGTAAGTATTCTTACAAAATGATTTGTTTCGCAGGTTTTCTTTCGCAATGCTTTATTACGGAATTTTATTTATTTTTCGTATAGTGCGTTACGGAGTGTGCATTTTCGCATATGCAACTTCCGCAATAACAATTCTATTACGGCAGATAAAAATACGAAATTTTTGCAAGTTTTTTTTTTGGCGAACAACCCTATATTGCGTATTGTATTTGTGGTGGTGGTTACGTTAACATTACAATAGGTATGGGAAGGCTTAATAAAGGGAAGGAAGTTAATACCCATTTATAATGTTAAGTGAACACAATATTTTTATATCTTCTGTATTTGGAAGAACTAGAATGCAAAATGTTTTTACTGCATTGTTTCTAATTTTTTTTACTGTATTTTTCAATCTACTATATTTTGTTTACTGTTTTTTTTTTTTTAATTTGGGGTGGTTATCAATTGTTAGGAGAGGTTGATATTTGAAGGGGTGGGGAGGTGGAGTCGTGTATTTGTTGTGAAAATTAGACTTTGAATCCAATCCCATAATATGGCAGGGGACAGGGCTGTACTGGACAACGATGACAAAGGGAGGGGGTACAAATAAAAAAAGCTTTTTTACCATAAAAATTTCACTAAACTGGGGGTTTTTTATTTTATTTAAAAGCCAAATTCAGTTTTAATCGACCGAGTCTCAAATTTTCCAAATTACTGACAAAACCGAAAGAATGTTGTAAACCTGGGAAGGTGCCCACACCCCGTCAGTACGGCCTTGGAAGGAGAGACTATTTTTGATGTGCGGTTATTATTGCACACTACCTATAGGATGCTGCACATAAAAAATATTAGTTAAACGTTCAATAAGCGTACCAAATTTGGTTTAATTGACTAAAGGGCATTATTTGTACACTCCATGCTGATTGGGTGTTTATAAACAGTTGCAACTACCTCATAGGCAGTTGTCTCCGAGCTGGGAAAAAAACAAAAATAATTGACTTTTGCTTAAAACACTTTTTTTAATAACAGTTTAGTTCAACGGGGCTCTAAGATTCACAATTAGTAAAGTGTTTAATTTCGATATAATAATATCTATCGCCTTAATAAAGCTTCCTCGTGTGTAAAATTTTTATCGACTAAATTTAGTTACACTAAATATCTAGTCAATTGATTTGAGTTAAATAAAAAGTTAGTCGACTAATTTTAGGGTGGAATGCAAGAAACGAATTTGAGCCAAACTCGACTAGAACTTTACATTGCAACCAATAGTAACAGAGTATGGGTTTTCCCCTCATAAAATACTCTGCCGCTATTGGTTACAAAGTAAAGTTCAAGTCGAACTTGACTCAAGTTTGTTTCTTGCATTCCACCCTTAGTTAGACTAAAAAGTTAGCCGGGTAATTTTATTTAGCTAAAAAAATTAGTCAAGTGATTTTAGTTAGCTAGAAAGTCAGTCGACTAATTTTAGTTAACTAAAAAGTTAGTCGGGTAATTTTAGTTAACTAAAAGGTTAGTCGACTAATTTTAGTTTGACTAAAAATTTTGTTAAGTAGTTTTAGTTAGACTAAAACTAACCTTAACTCCCATCCCTACAGACTAAGGAGTGTAAAAAACGTCTTTAAACTTAAATTTAACGCCAATTTTTTTAATTTTAACGCCAACTTTTTAAATTTAAGGTGTTGATTCCAGTAAAAAGATGAAATAAAAAAACAATAACAATAATTGAAATCTATTTATATCAAAACAATATTTAGCATGTTAAGATAATAATTGTCACTGACGTGTTTATAACTGAAATTTACAATCATTTTTAACAATAACTTTAATCTTCGTAACCAGTAGGGAGAGCGTTGTTATGATTATGGAAGATCGAATGATTTCCATCTCCCCAAGGAAAAGGCTGAAAATAAAACATATTTGATTGACGTAACACAGTTTTGATTATTATAAGATAATAAAAAATTAAAAAAAAAATGTAAAAAATAATAATAAATAATAAGTATAAAAATCAGAAAATACAAACTTTTCGACAGAATTTTTATAAGAAAAAGAGGATATTGAATATATTTTAGAGATGTTGCATTTAATTTAGAGGATTTTTTTCCGCAAAACTACAAAATTTTAAATATAAATAGAGGATTTTTTTTATAGGTTTAACGTCGATGCTTCCACACAATGTGTCCATGTTTCCACAAAACTGAGGTTTGGACAGGGATAAACATAGTCATTTTTTATGATTTGCTAAAATTTATTTTTTACAACCCAGACCATATTTTAAAAATTCGGAAAATTATTTTAGTAAAATATCCGGAAAAAATCCGGATTATGTTTTTCTCTTAATTTTGCTTTTAGCTGAAATGTTTTTAATTTTTTTTTTCAAACTTTTCTTAGTTTTGTATGAGTGATGAGTGAAAAAGGTTAAAAAAGAAATATATTACAAAAATATATACCTTAACTTGTTTGTATATAAAAGTTGAGAAAAATATCAGGAATTCCGGAAATATCCGGAAAAAGATAATCCCTGCAACTTTCTCCCCAATCCTCATTTCAGATGTTAACCAGTTTTGCAGATCATCAATTTTGAACATTATACTACCATCAAGAAATGAAAAAATAAAAAAAGGGTTAAAGAGGAGATTTTATCACATTTTTAAGTTTATGGAGGATAATAAAGGTTTTTGAAAAAAAAACTTTAGAGGTTTTAGAGGAGCTGTGGCCACCCTGATATATGAAGAACAGCTCAGCATTTACATTACAAGTTTACATTTAGAGCAGCCTGTGCTTTTTTTTTAAAATTTTATTTTAATTCACCTCCCCAAGGCCATTAAGGCCACTAAATTCGAGGAGGCTACATCAGTTGTGGTTACAACCCTCTATCAACTAAATAAAAAAATCATGAATCTTGATGAACAAGGCCACTGCGAGGAAAAACAAGTTGAGTGCAGTACTAACAGAAGTCTATGCCCGGGTTATTTTAAATGAAAAAGTGTCATGTTCAAAAAAATTCATGTTAAAAAAAAGAGTCTGTACCCAAGTTATGTTAAATAAAAACAGAACAAATGATTTTTTTTTATTTTTAAATTGTTATACTAATTTAATTACAATTAAAATCTCTTTTATACCTATGTTAATTTAGATCAGCAGGAGTTGTGTAACTTTTTTTTATTAATTTTGGTTTGATATTTCTGAGTGAAATCTTAATCAAATTAAGTAATCCTAATTTGCAGTAACTGGAAATGCTTCTGGTCATTAAATTTTTTTTTTAAAAAAAAACTGTAAACTCTGTTTTTATTACTAAACTCAATAGTTGTAATTCAATAAAAAATATTGATTTTGAAATTACAATATAAAATGTCATTATAAAACCATATTACTACTATTATTTTTAGCATTACTGGTTTTATTATAAAAAATTATGATTTAAACTTGAATATTTTAATTTATTTGATAAATCATCAGATAAAACTAGAAAAATACATACATACAATAGCATACAGTACAACGTAATATTTAAAAAAACAACTGCAAATCACTAAAGTCTAAAGGAATTTAGCAGTGATCAGATATTTTGAATAAAAGAAATTCCAAAATAAGACATAAAATACTTTTATATTTTATATTCTAATAAATCAAATATAACCATCCATGTTTGTAACTCTCTAACGCAGATATGTATATAAAATTATAGACAGATATGTATATAAAATTATTGACAGATATGTATATAAAATTATAGACAGATATGTATATAAAATTATTGACAGATATGTATGTAAAATTATAGACATGAGTTTAAAAACAAAAACTAATTTAACTGCTTATAGTTGTTTTGAAATAAAACAAAAAAACTCAAATAACTTATTTTTTAAAAACCTTTATTTTTATTATCAATTACTAATTCAAAATATTTAAGTTTTTAAATAAATAGTTCCTCAAAGTTTTCTCTTAAACAAAAATTGACTTAAATGTTTCATACAATGCGCGAACAGCATTAGTAGAATTTATATTGGTTGATTTTTAAAATATTGTGCTAACTTTTCAGAACTTTAGCAATTAATTTTTTTTTTTCTATAACTTTTTTATGTAACTATAGTGCTTAAATTACCTGGTGTTTAAACAAACAATAATTTAAAATATGAGTTTAGTATATTATTATTTTTAAAGTAGTAAATTTATTGTTTTGTTTATTCATCTTTTTAGCAATATGATAAATTGAGCATTTTATTAAAACAGTGTTCACAGTTTTTAATAAACCAAGAATTCAATGACCAAAAATACCTTCATACATTGTAGTTTGCAATCACTTGATTGAAGCTATGACAGTTACAGATAATTTCGGTATAGTAACTATATGCAGAATTATTTTAATATTTTTTTGTTAGTTTTAAATAGTGTTTAATTAAAAAAAAAAAGAGCAAGTTATAACAAAACAGCCCACTAGACTCTATTTACAACTACAAATTCCCGACTTATCAAAGGTTTCCAATAAAACCTAACATGATGGTCTTCTCCATAAGATCACTACATATGGTAAATCTGAGAAAGTTTTTAAAACTGTTGAATGATTTTTTTTCAGAATATTTTAAAAATTTCCAACACAGGTTAATGACCTTATTCTCTAAAAAAACTGATAATTGTAAAATGGCTGCATCTAAATGTTTAACGTTGCAGATCAGTTTACTACTTCTAGGCTGCATTGTGAAAGCCTTTTAAAAAGAAATAAAGAAATCACCTTTCAAAATAAACAGCTCATATATTCACCTAACAGCACCATAGCAGCAAAGCAATTGGTGGCATTATGTTTATATCCATATCTATTACCATATATCAGGGTTCCCACTATTATAACTGAGGCTAAAAGTAAGGATTTTAAGGAGATATTTTCCTTACACTTAAGGAGATTTGGTCGCGAACAACAATATTTTGAAAGAAAAGTAAGGAGAAAACAATTACATTAAAAACAGAACCTTCTTTTTTTTTAATAATTTTTAAATATAAACAAAACAATTATTATAATTTAATATAATACTTGATGTATATAATACACATATATATATATATATATATATATATATATATATATATATATATATATATATATATATATATATATATATATATATATATATATACAGTGGCGTACACTGGACTTTTAGATGTTTGAGTTTTGACACTTACAGGTATTATGCAAACTCCAAACTTTTAAGAGCTAGGTGGGCCCAAAAATTGGGTTTTTTTTGTCCCCAAGCTCCAATCACCACAACTCTTTGCAAAACATTCTCATTTGAAATAAGTACGAACATACAAAAGTTTGGAGTTTGCACAATGCGTGTAAGTGTCAAAACTCAAGCATCTAAAAATCCAGTGTACACCACTGATATATATATATACAAAATAGAAGTATAGGTTTGCAAACTATTGAAGAATTATATATTTGCTTCTTTATTAAAAAGTATAATCCATTTACTTTAATAAAATTTTCTAGATGATTAAAAAACAAAATTAAGGAGAGCAGTCAAAATACAACTTTTTTAAAGGATTTTTAAGGTTTTTAAAGAGGATTGGGCACCCTGTATACTCTCTACATATTTTGCTGACCTAATTCCACACAAGATTTTACGCAAAGTGTAGAAAGAAAAATACTACTGAAAAATACTAATGAAAAAACTACTCATTTTCTGAACCCTCAGTTAAGGCCGTTTTCCACAAGACGAAATATTCGTGTGAAGCGAATTTTTTCGTCGATAAGCATGTGCAGATAAAACATTTCTCGCAATAATTAGCAATAATTGCTAAAAATGTTTTATCTGCGCATGCTTATCGACGAAAAAATTCGCTTTGCGCGAATATTTCGTCTTGTGGAAAACGGCCTTTAATGTAGCACAACAAAAACTATTTTAGGAAAATAATTTAAGCAAATGTAAGGAAATTTTGCGGAAACATTTCAATGGGCAAATATTTGGCACCTAAATATGCTCAATACTGTCAAAAAGAGTCTAGAATCGCCCTTGCATAACTCCCTTGCATGCTCTCCTTATATCAGTCAATGTATTTACTGAATTCCTCACAATTCCCTAACTCAGCATGACATCAGATAGCTCATCTGAATAGTTTTCTATTTGTGTTTATATATAATTATATATAATATTTAAAAAATCATAATTTATTGATGATTAATAACAAAAAATTAAACACTAAAAAAATATATCAAATGTAGAATATATGAATTCGTCATTAAGGATGACATTTATTCAAAACTCTAGACACCACAATTTGAAAGAGAAAATTAGATAACAAACATATCTAGAAAATATTTTATCTATAATGCTTCAGAAATTACCATAACTATACCTTGTTTCTGATTCTCAGATGTGAATATGGTATAAATTCTGGTCTATGAAAATGGGCTTCATGTTCTGCTTCAGTGGTCATAACATGATAACCAACAAGAGCAATCAACGGAAGAGCTCCAAATAGTGTTAGGCGCTTCCATAACTTAGCAGTTGCTAAAAAATAATTGTAATAAAATAGTTATTCACTATTAATTTAAAACTAACCGGTCTGTATTAACTGGAGAGTTACTTACTGGGAGAAAGTTTTGCAAAACTCAGTAAAATAAAATTATTAAAACTAATTTAATATCATCTAATATCAGTGTAACACTATTTCAACTTAAAAAAGTAAAAAAAAGAAGTAAACAGACAACACACATACTAATTTTTGATTCTTTTAATGTTGATAACTAATGCTTAAATTAAATAAAAAGTTTTAAAATAGTTTTAAAATAATTTTTTATGAATTTAAAACCAACGCAGAAGTTTGGGACAATGACATGAAGTGCAAAATAATTAAAAAATTCTTATTTGAAACCTAAATATTTTTTTTAATCAAGGGTGGATATAAGCATGGCGTAAATGCATTTGAAAATAAAATATAAAATCTGTAAGCAAAAATTTAAAATAAAAATTATTCTAACATTGCTCTACAAGATTAATTTCAAAATACTATTAACTACTATCTTAAATGCTACTATAAACATTTGACTGGGCCCTGCTAAAGAAGTTAAAGTAACAGGCAAAATTAATAAATTCTGCACCTATTTAAGTAAAACTAAGGTTAAAAGAAAATTTCATTTAAGTAAAAGAAAGGCTAAAAAAAGTCATCCATCAAATGACTTTCTTAAATAACAAGGATTTTTCTCCTTGAGATCTTTTTTTGTCCACTCGATTTTATATGCAATTTTTCATATTTAGAGTATATTCTTGTGTACTATTTAGATCTTTAAACTTTCTCTGTGCCTATAAGCATTCATGGTATATTATGATCCACCATATGTAAGCAAATACATATATATACAGATCAGAATTAGCATTCGGCATTGCCAAATGCCAACCTTAATTCTGAGGGCTGCATATAAATAAGTCCATGTTAATCAAAATATAAACAGTAAAGATTAAAACAAGGATTTAATTAAATGTAAAGATATACTCAAAATACTTAGTATTACAAATATAGAAAAAAACAAAAAAACAAAAACAAATACAAAACTGGATTTTACAGAAACTTAAACTGAATTTTAAAAACCTGAACTAAATAATAAACATAAGAAGAGGATGGAATTAATAAACAAAAAATAAGCAAAGTGGCATAATTGGAAATTATACATAATTGGAAATCATGCTTTAATGAGGTGGCACGATTTCCAATTAAAATTTTCAAAATGAAGATGAAAACTTATATTTATAATACTTGGGTAATGCCTTTTACCTTATTCAACACTCTAACTTTTTGTTAGTTTGGATACAACAACATAAAACCTCCATTTACTGATTTTGTTATTTATAAAAAAAATACTCATTACCAACTTTGATCAGCTAAAAGCTTCAAATTATCTATACCTAAACATAGAACTGTTTGTTATGGACATGAATCGATTAAATATCAGAGCATATGCACATGGAATAGTCTCCCCTCACAGTTAAAATCTCTCACTACATTGTCCAAATTCAAAAACAGTCTATTTAATTTTTTTTAAAAAAGCTTACTTAAAAAATCTTCGTTTAGGCTTGAGAAATTAAACATTGTTTTAATGTTTTAAAACAATAATAATTACATAAACATTTTTTGCAGTTTTTTATTTACAAATCACTCTTGAAAAGCTTTGTAAAAGCAATGTTAATTTTACAAACTGATATGCTAGACAAGAAACAACAAATTATTATAAATCTTCAGAAATTATCGAATAAATACTAAAGAATGAAATTCCATTTATATGATAAATAAAATTCTGAAGGTTTATAACACTCTGTAAATTACTCTTATCTACATAAAAAAGATAAAAACAAATTAAAAAATTATTTTTAACCTTTAAAAATATTATAACAAAGCAAATCAACTAAAGTGGAATAAATTATTAGCTAACCTTCTGCGTGTGCTATTTCAGAAGCCATAGCATCATTATAAGCCTTCAAAGCTAGAGCAGCTTTGTCAGATGAACTATGACGAACAGCAAGACGAAAAGCTGGTGAGATTCTAAAAATGCGATGCAACATTTTAGAGTTTCAAAATTAGGTTCATACAAAAGTAGTCCTTAACTTAACTCGGTTTAGATTTTTCTAAATGTTCGAGTCTTTTTTCTAACCAGATACTCTGGTTAACCAGCCAATGGTTAATAGGCATCTCCGTAATTCCTGGTTTCCATCAGATGGTTTTATATAGCCTGGTTCTCACCATAAAAAATTGTTATTTTCGAGGGATATATTCAGTGTTTAAAGGTCATTCAAAAACAGTCATTTGAAATTTTCGAAAATATCTATAGCCTATTGTTTGATTACAAACTCCAATAGAATAGAAATAAACATTTTTTTATTCTACGGAAAGATCTTAGTTGGGAAAAGAGCACACTTCTGCCTATTTCTTTTTAGAAAACGGTTACAAATGCTAATGGAAGGACCGGTCAAGTCGTCTTTTTAAGACTCGAATTTAAATGAAAGACAAATTTCCCAGCGGGCATTTGTTTTTAAAAGTTACGTTCTAAATTTATTTTAAATGTCTTTTAATTAAAAGACATTTAAAATAAATTTAGAACGTAACTTTTAACGTTTAACGTAACTTTTAACGTTTAACGTTACGTTTTAAAATAAATTTAGAACGTAACTTTTAACGTTTAACGTAAGAATGTTTAGGAGACGTTTAATTAAACGTCTCCTAAACATTCTTACGTAAAGAAGGTTTAAAAAAAATTAAAAAACGTTTAAATGACATTTAGAACGTTACTTTCAAAAACAAATGCTCAAAGGGTTAGATCCAGTGGCGTTGTGTGGGAAAGTTCCAGGGGGGGGAGAGACCTCAATTTTCCTAACTGCTAAACATAGATTTTCCATAAAGGGGGTATTATGTCTGTTTTTTGCCAACTCAAGCCAAAAAACATTTTTTGAATGCTAACTTATCTAAAAAAAAAAAAAGGTCCTCGTTTTCCGATAATGCCGACTCCAGTTCCAATTTACCAATCGTAGGGGGGCTAGACACCTACTACTCGGGACGGTCCTGTTTGTATATGAAACTTTTTACCACCATGAACGGATCTTTTATGACTGGTTTTATAGTCGTTGTTAAAAACTGCTTTGCATACGCAACATTGTATTTTATATCTCTTGCTTTTGATAATTATTGCTCTGGAAAACGAACGCAGATACTATAATTTACCGCAAACTTTAAATGAGTTAATGTTTATAAAAGTTATCACTCATATGTCTTTATAAAAATTATCACTCATATGTCACTCACATGTCTTATTCAATTATTATTATCATAATAATAGAATAAGACATATACATTCTTATTCATATTTGACCTTATCCTTCAAATCTAATTCCGATCCTACTTTAGTATACTGATAATTGGAAGTAATAACAGGTGCAAAGCTGAACGCTTTACACCTGTTATCAGAGTTTACCATTTATTTTCTTATACTTGTAAAAAGCTTTATACTAAATTATTAGATTAAAAAATGAACCATATCATTTTTAATGATATCATACCTTACATACAAAGACAGAAATGTTAAAATTAATGCATGAAAATAAATTTTTACATGTTTCAAAGTCTGAAGTCAAAAAGTTTATTGTCCGAGTAAAAAATTTCATATTTAATTGATTTTTGCAAACTTTTTAATTTTATTTAATTAAAAAATACTTTTTCATTTTATTACCGATTTCCCAACTGTCTCAACTCGTTGCAAGGAAATTTCAAACTTTTCTCTTTTCAAGATTCTGAGGGGGGAGACTCCCCTACCTCCCCTAAAGCTTTTAAAAGCTTTTTTGTATTTTTTAATTATCAGCTTTCTTACGCTACTATTGTTTTAAATTAATTTTATTAAGTATGATTTTAAAATATACTATTTAAATTAACTTTGTTTTTTTCGTTTTGACTATTCAAAACAATTAAACGTAAGTGTATTCTTCAGTTTTTATGCATAGGTTTTTTTGCATCCTGAAAAATGGGATCCGTTATAAAATGGAGAACTATAAGAGACGTTATTTTTATTACGTATTTTCCATTGCCGTTTACTCGAAAGATAACCTATATATTTTTGCACTTATAACCATTGTTTTTTGTTTGATTTATTTTTATGAATAACGAGAAATTATATTTTTAATTTTACTCTTCATGAAAAAACTTTATGAAAATAAATTTCTTTTTTTTATATTGTTAAAATTGAACTTGTTAAGTTGTTTAATTTGATCTCTAAAATTATGATTAATAAATTGTTTTAATGTAATGCTTGTCGAGTAATTTATAAAAAAAAACTAAACTGGTAGTCTGTAACGAATACTCAATTGTTAATGTGTAACCAATACTAACTTATTCTAACTGTTATTTTCTAACTGATACGAATCATGTAATATAAAGTCTGCAGCTGATTTTCAAACTTTATTTGTCGCTAACGATAAAACTATATCTTAGATAAAACTATATCTATAATTAGAAACGATAAAACTATATCTATAATTAGAATGTGTAATCTATTACTAATGTGAAGTGGTAAAGCTCGGTAAAATGAAATATATATATATTTTTTTTGTTCTTTTCTTGAATATTCAATATAGTTATACAATAAGATAGTTGAGATAAAAATCGTTATACAATAAAAGAAAATATATACAAAAAAGAAAGAACGCGGAGACTCGCAGAAGACCTTCAGGTCTTATCATCGAGAACCGCTCGTGAATATTAAGTACATTAAATTAACATGAAGTATAAAATCTAAACAATGTCGTATTAAAATTTAGCGAGAACGTAAATTTCGTAATAATATATAAATAAAATTGGAATAAAAAAATTGTTGATACTCTTATATATAAATACAAAAATATTTTAAAAAGTACTGTTTTCACAAACACATAAGTTATGGATCAGATATAATATTTATATATTACCTTATGTAATAAACTTCATATTCATTTTTAAAAGAATTTAAAAATATAAAAAAATGTCTTCAAAAGACAAAACAATTTCTTTTAGTTTTTTCTTGAATGAAAGATAATTCTAATCATGGGAAAAATCAAAATTTCGTATATATTTACTATAACATTATGTTGTAGATTACAAAACTGAAAAGTTTTTTTAGTGAATTAACATTCACTAAAAAAACTTTTCAGTTTTGTTTAATAATCGCTTGTACTTATTTAATGTATTTTTAAATTTCTAAAAATTAACTAGGTGAAAATGAAAATTTTGTCTCATATTTTAGTGTTTAAAATTTATTGGCGTAAATTCTATTAAAAATTTCCTCGTTTGAATATGATTGCGACTGCATGGCAATAACGTTTGAACAGTAAATTTTTAAGATAAATTATAAAATCTGTCAGTAAATACAAATTGAGGTTAGTTAATTAATGTAAAAGATACATCATCTCCATATAGTATGTTAGCGCAGTACAAATTACTTGGTCTTTTAATTAAAAAGATCTTTTTAACAGCGGAGCCCGATAAACAGCTCCACCTGTCCCATTTCCGGGAAACTCTAAAGTCTTCTTTCTTCTTATGCGGCAATTAGTGACTGTCTCCCAAAAGGATTTTTAAAGCAAATTGTTCTAATTTCTGCCTTCAGTGATTCCTTCTCCTAATTGGCTGCCGCAGTGAGAGCTTTTTTGGAGGCTAACGCCTAATGAAAACAGAAGCCTTAAGTGGGTGCCTCTTTATAAAATTTTGCTCCTTAACTAAAAACCTAGGTTTTTAGTTAACACGCAATCCCTGTGAAAAATGAGCTTTATAGAAGATTTTGTACAATTTTTTCTCTCATCTTATTGTTTCATTTTGTTTTTATGTCTTTGAAAAATCAATTTTTAATATTGGATGCAATATTTTTATCAATCTAATTAAATTTATACATTCTGATTTTATTATGACACATAGCTATCTAAATACTGCAGCTTGTATCTATTATTATTGCTACAATATATTGTTAACAACAATTAGAAACAATTTACTTAGCAACAACATAAAGCTAAATCTGTAGCTAGTCGATTGCTACTTACCCTGTCTTTGTAAATAACGATTTTATGATATATACAGATTGTAGGTATTTAGCTAGCTACAACATAACGACAAATTTAAAGCTGAGCAATAAATTTATATTGTAACTTTTTAGATTGCAATATTGTTACGTAAATCAATAGCTACGGCATGGTTGCTATAATACTGTTGATATTGTTTTACCGGCGCTTTAATTGAAGTTTTGTAGTATTAGTAAGTAATACTAATTTTAATGAGTATTAGTTACAAATACTACAAAAATTTTACAAATGCTAATTTTAGTTACAATATAAAATATTTTTACCAAATTTTATTTTTGCTATATTGAACTAATCAATTGTTTTTTTTGTGATAAAACTGGATTCTGGCAACAGTTAACCTGAGTTGTTATGTTGGTAAAGTTTCTTATTTTTGGAGTTTAATGCTAAGGATAAGAACGATTTTCTCTTAATAAAATAGTAACATTTGACCAATTGCTTATGTGCAAAATATGAAATTCCTAAATCGACGCTAAAAAGACATTTAATTCATTAAAATATGTTTACAAAAGAATCAAAAAAACAGTTAGGTAGGTGTAGTTACCTTCTGGTAAGAAGTAATCTAAACTCCTAAAGTTGAGAAAGTTAACTAATCTCCTAAAGTTGAGAAAGGGTTAGTTGAACATGTTTTGAAACTGTAATCTTGTATGTTTAGAATAAGAGTGCAGGTTTTAATCAAAAACAATTTGCATTATTAAGTAAAAATAAAGATTTTGCGTAAAAATATTATTTTGTTATTAATGTAGTTAGCATTAAAACCCATCTTTTTCTTAAAAAAACTCTAGTAACAACATTAACAAGTTAAGCCCTTAATATAAAAATTATACTTTATTTGGTGATACCTGTCTTTACTTTTCTTCAAGAAAGGTTTATAGTTCATTTAGTAATTTTTAGTAAAGCTTTATAGAATCATTTAGTAATTTTTTTTGATTTTATTTAACAAGTAAGTTTTAAAGGTTTTTAAAAACAGTTATTAAAACATCGCCTAAAAATAATTTTAAAATATTCCTAAGGCACAGAAAAAGTTAAAAGATAAAGATATAAAAATCATGCATATTAAATCAAGTCAAAAGTGTTTCAAAACAAGCAATTATTTTAAAAT